GAATCATTGGTTTTACTCCATGTTCTCTCCCCGTGGAAAAGAAGCGATTTACGTGCGTGTTTGATGGCAGTTTCTTCTTCCGGCGTGATATTTGTCATAGTTCTCGCCCAAGAAATTGCACTGTTCAAGAGATCTTCCGAAATTGATGGGTAAAACTCGTTAACATCGAAGGAAAGGAAGGAGTAGTCACACTTGTTTTTAATTCCTTGGAACCATTTTAAAACAGATTGGGTGTTCTTCCACTGGTTTACATGGATGATGGATCTTATTTCATCATTTATTCTATCTAAAACAACTTTGCTGACCTTTCCGAGCTCGCTCTTTGAAGGATTCAGGAGGCGGCATTTAGGATTATTGTCAAAGTTCTCCTTATGATCTTTAAGCGTTACAAACGCGTTTTTCCTTGCCATAATATCAACTCTGCCTGATATGGATAGTTTGTCCGTAATTTCTTTCAATTCAGAATTAACATTGCTCATAATATTATCATCACATTGTTTATAGTTCATGGTTACATTATCTGTAAGGAGTTTCTCATACGATGCTGGACTTAACTCGTAAATGTTTTTTGATTTGTCCGCAAAAACCAATATGTTATTCGACGAATTGATTCGATCAAGGTCCTTGGAGATTTTATTCATGAAAGGATCGTTTACAGTTCTAAATTGAATGTTTGATATCAGTTTAATTACATCGTCTTCGAAATCTTTTAATTGGGTGACCATGGGCGCATTATTCGGTGATGGAAGTCCAAATTTCTCATCGCAATTTGTCGTCTGCTTTCCAAGGAAAAAATGTGCTTTCCAGCTCATACGTTGAATGACGCTTTCCGTTTTTTCAATAAGTCGCCGTTGATATTGCGTACGACTTGGCAAACCGATATTCTTTAGCGAGTAATTGAAGTTCATCCGGTTCATCTTAAGATTGTTTTGGATACCACGAACAACAGAGTGCACAACTGATTTCCAGGTGCGAAATTAATAATATTCAATATTGAATTTGTGCGTAGTGAACTAGAGTGCTCAACACCAATAAATCAGTAGAGCAAATAAAAAGAGACATAAACAACAAATTTCAATCTTAAAATTTTATTTCATCGCTACACAGTGTTTCACGTACAGCGTACGATCATCAGGCGATTGATGTTAATTATCTCGCAATAAATTACAACGGTTGCTAAACAATTCAGATCTTATATTCAATGTATTAATTTTGTCCGATAACATAATCATTCTTTTTTCCTCGGTGCACAGAGAACAAACTTTCATTCCTGGGCAAACGGCTGGAACTTGCTTCATGACCGACCAATTTATTTGGAATGATTTGTTCTGGGGAGCTACGATGGTGCCGAGGTGTGTGAACTTGTTGGTTTGTTTATATTAAATACTTTAGCGTCACGGTTCGGGAATGACATGGTTGGTCTGTATAGGGATGATGGCTTAATGCTGGTAAAAGGGAGCAAGGGTAGATCGGCGGATAAGGCTAGAAAGGAACTCCATCGCATTTTCGATCAGTTCGGTTTAAAGATTACCGCTGATTTCTGCCATCAATCAGTGAACTTTCTTGATGTAACCTTAAACTTGAAAGAAAATAACTTCACTCCCTATCGAAAACCAAATAATGATCCCATTTATATCGATAGCCGTTCTAATCATCCACCATCAATTATCAGACAACTCCCAAAATCAATTAATAAACGTATATCCTCCCTTTCCTCCGACAAACCGAGTTTTGATTCAGCCGCCCTTTTATACGAAGATGCACTGTAGCAAAGCAATTTCAATACCAACCTAAGGTACGACAATGAAACAAATAGTAGTAAGCCCAAGAAACGAACCCGATCAAGAAACATTATTTGGTGCAATCCGCCCTACAGCAAGAACGTGAAGACGAAAGTTGCAGAAAATTTCCTTCGTTTAATAGACAAGCATTTCCCCAAATCATCGATCCTACATAAAATTTTCAACCGAAATTCTGTCAAAGTCAGTTATTCATGCATGAACAATATTAAAGCATCAATTTCAAACCACAACCGGCGTGTTCTTAAGAATCAGAATCCCTCCCAAATTCCATCGAAATCGTGTAACTGCAGAATTAAAAGTAAATGTCCACTGAACGGCAATTGTCTCGTGAGAAGCGTTGTGTATAAAGCCCAGATTACAAGCGACAATGGGAAAGTGGTCAAGAATTATATAGGAATGACGGCGGGTCCTAATTTCAAGCTACGATATAGCAATCATTTGAAATCATTGAACAATGGGCGCTATTCGACAGAGACTGAACTTTCGAAATATGCTTGGGTTCTTAAATCGCAGAACAAATCATTCCGAATAAATTGGTCGGTCATGAAGCAAGTTCCAGCCGTTTGCCCAGGAATGAAAGTTTGTTCTCTGTGCACCGAGAAAAAAAGAATGATTATGTTATCGGACAAAATTAATACATTGAATATAAGATCTGAATTGTTTAGCAAGTGTAGGCATAGGAACAGTTATAAAGCTTCTAATTTCAAACGCGCGCGCAAGTAAACACAATCGTTTAAATGCTTGCGTCAGCAATCTAAGCGCGTCAGCGTAAACCGTTGTAATTTATTGCGAGATAATTAACATCAATCGCCTGATGATCGTACCACAGAGTAGAGACATACAGAGACGTAACTGATGTACCCACTTTTTTTGTGCGCATGCTCGGCAAGTTACTAGAACTACATAATTATACTAGAACTGCATAATTCAAGATGGCGACTTACTTTTAACTTGCAGTTTACCTTTTAAAAGTGCGTAAAAATGCGAAAGACATTAAGATTGTAAAACTTTAATGAGCCGAAAATGTTTGGATAGACGTTTACCAAGAGGTCGCATAATAACAGAAGATTTAAACACGATTTATTACGGCAAATAAGGAACGACGTTGTGACTGGTGACCGTGAACTGCCAGAACAAGGCACAGAACATAGGCTTGATTTAAAACTTTTGGTGTGCATAGTTATTTTACTGGAAGACGATCGCCTATTAACACACAGTAGATGTAAGTACTAAAACTAAAAATGAGCCGTAAATGTTTGGAGTTAATTGGACAGACGTTTCCCAAGAAGTCACAAAATATTAACAGAGGATTTAAATGAGATTTATTACGACAATAAGGAACTTTAAAAATAGGATTCGACAACTGAACTGAACATAGAGCATACGCTTGGTCGGCTTGGAGTTGGGACGAAATATATAAATGTTTATAAAATATCTGATGCGAACATTTTTATAGTGTACAATGTAGGTATGTAGTTGTGTTGCTGGAAAGCCAATCACCTATCCACACGCAATGTGTGTACATTTTGATAAATATACAAAGGTGTATTAATTAAAAAGTGTGCCCTTTCAAGTTGGCCATAACCCACTGTAGTAATTTCACATCCTTAATTGCTTTGAATTGTCTAATAGTATAAACTAAGTGTAGAAACCATCTTGAAGTACTGTGTATAGAAGACCTTGTGTTATGACAATATCTTATGGCTGATAATTTGAAAAGGTCTACTAATTTTTGTTACTGAGCAAGGGACTTGTTGGGTACTAAGCGAGGTACAGGCGAGGGCATGACCAGCTAGTGCCGTCACTGCTGAGCTATTTTTGCTACTAAACTAGATTCTTTGAAAGGCTATGGCGGGACATGCTGAGCCATGCCGCATAGTACCTTGCAAGACCATTTGACTAATTGCCAGGCTATGTCACCCACTGGACTAGGTTAGTTAGAGGATCCTGCGACTTACTGGGCTATGTCACCAACTGGAATAGGTCCCTTTGAGGGCTGTGTGATTTGCTAAGTAATGTAGCCTTGTAGGACAATGAGATGTACCAGGCTATGTTTGGTACAGGACAAGGTTGCATGCAGGACTGTGACATCACAATTTTATATTGATTCAAGCAAGTGATATATGGTCTAGAAACTGTGAAATTACATATGGAACGCGACTTAAATTCTGTTTGAGATTCCAACTATTGGGACCCAAACAGTTACTATTGTGTGTGTAGATGTTAGCAAGTGAATATGACATTTGGGGTGTTACTCTAGATATGTGTGTGCATCCACACCGGGCAAGCTGAAAAGTTTGCTTGACCATAGTGGGAATCAAACCCACAACCGCTGGGATATTAGTATAATGCTCTACAATTACTGAGCTACAAGATCAAGTTGAGTTGGTGATATAATTCGGAACTGAGTCTTAAGTTCCTTTGATATCAGTGTATTCTAAGATACAATACTTTTGCAGGGACGTTGCTACCGGGAGTTGTAACCTCCCCCCTTCCCCCGCCCCAATAATTCAAACGTTGATCAAAATGGAAATGATAGTTGTTCAAAGTTGGTCAAAATGGAACTGGTATTTGCTTAAAATTTAAGGTCAAGTTGGTGAATTGTGGTGAAAAATTGGCAGGCATTAATTGCTTATTTTGGTCAGATGAGAAGATCTTGCAGCAAGTCAACTTGCATTGGGGCAACAATTTTGTTTAAAGTTAAATTAACTTGCATAAATCTTGTTTTATAGAATCTTAGACAAGCCATGAAAATACATCGGCTACCAATGGTGTAACACGTTACAACACAATTGCAAATCAGTGGTGACTTGGGTTCTTTACAGACTTTAAATAGAAACCTTATAGTAAATAAAGATTTTATAACCCATTGAGCTGCAACGTGCCCCAGTGCGCCCTACTTATTTTTTGACACCCTACCTATCATCTGACACCAGATGATTTTATACTCATCAACTGGGAAGCTCTGCAGCCTAATGGGTTTATCAAAAAATCTGATGTCTCCGGTTAACCTATTGAGCCCCAATGTGTGCTACTTAGTGTTTTACTTGTTTAACGCCAGAAAATTTTACTCATCAATGAGGAAGCTCTGCACCTTAATAGGTTAATCATATTTTGTCTTGACCTCAAGTGTCAATCTCACTTCAACTAGTACTGTCCAAGTAATTATTTGCATTTTAATTGTTCTTGTGCTATGAAGTGTAGATAATCTGTGCCTTGGGAGTTATATTTACTTGTATTACAAAGTAACCTCTTGGATGGGCTTCGATCTTCATGGGTTAAAAAGTGTATTACAAAAAAATATTTTTAATATATAGGATATTGTAAATATGTAATGATACATATATTCATATTTTTAATTTTAAAACAAGTCTTCACAACCGCAAATATACATAATATATTATAAACTAAATGCCTCTCTGCATGCGATAGTTTAAGAGACAAATAGGATATAGAAATAAGTTTATATTAAACACAGTCATGTAAATCACAATTAAATTTTTATTAATTTTTTTGTGTGTTTTGATGTTAAACACTCAAGTGAGTACAATGTTTGGGATGTTACTATGAGTGTGGCAGGGCCTTTTTTAAGGATTTTCCCGTGGGGGGGGGGGATTTTTTGAAAAGGGACCTTTCTGTGAGATAATATATTAGAGGGGGATAGCAATGGCTGAAGGCCACGTGTGTGGCCAATATACCACGCATGAATGGGGGGTCTGGGGTACTCCCCCAGAAAATTTTTGAAATTTGAATCCCGGAAATGTCATTTCCTGCATTCTGAGCATCCAAATTTGCTCCAAAATTTATGCTGACTATACTTGTATTTGAAATAAATAAAGGAAAAAATGCACAAAAAGTAAAAAAAAATAACCATCATTTATCATTACTTATTAGAGGAGGATAACAATGGTCAGGTGTGTGGGGGTGTACTCCCCCAGAACATTTTTGAAATTTGAAGCATGGAATAATTTGAAGCATGGAAATGCCATTTCCTGCATTCTGAGCATCCAAATTTGCTCTAAAATTTATGATAACTATACTTGTATTTGAAATAAAAGATGGGAAAAATGCACAAAAAGTAAAAAAAAATAACCATCATTTATCATTACTTATTA